GCTCGGCAGGGAGTCTGCTTCTCCCTCTGACCCTCCTCCCTCTCATGCTCTCTGTCTCTCATTCTCTCTCTCTCAAATAAAAAAAAAAAAAAATACCAGTCCTTTTGAGGTTATATTAAACAGCTTCTCTCCCTTCAGATTACTGATGTTTCTAACAATTCACTGTGAACATGTCCTAAATTGTTTTCTGGGCTTTTTATTTTTATTTTTGCAATGTAGTCACAACTCATTTTTTTGGCAGTAATAACCTTTTGTCCTCTGCTTGGACTGACATCAACACTTTAAAAAGTCCAAATCCAGTAAGAGAAGCCAATTTGCTTTCCGCAGTTGTCAAAGGGCAAATCTGAACCTTGGACAGTGGCTTTTATTTTCCATCTGCACATTTTAACAATATAACTTACAAACCTCTAAAGAAAACATCTGCTGACGTCTGACCCATGTCTCCATCCTGCTGTTTTTAAATAACTGGTTAAAAACTTCTCTCCAATCATTTAGAAAACAGATTATCTTAAAAAATGATAGAAAAGAAAAAAATGAACTGTCTCACTGAAAGTCCTCAGAGCTTTGTGGCATTCTAGCCAGTTAAAACAAGAAGACATTAAGAGATAGAAAATAAAGATAAAACTTGAGTTGTATTCTATCTTCAGAAAATGAAGGAGGTCATAAGATTTTCCTTAAGAAAATTAAATAGATTTTATAAAAATTTAAAAAAGAAAATATCTTAAAACCTGATAGCTCATGTTTGTCAATTTCCTTGGACCAATCAGTTTCGACTGCAGCTTCAGACCCGGGTATGCTGCGCTGTTCCATCAAGCCCAGCACCTCCGAAATGGCAGGTTCTAATTTTCTGACCCAGAGAAAGGGATGACACAAGATGCACAATTACCTTTGATTTTTCTTCATTTTCTCTATAAAATTCTGCCATTTGTTCCTCCTGTTCTTCAATAACATCCTTGAGGGTGTCTACCTGGTAGATCAAATTGTTCTTCTCATTGTCTAACTGTGCGTTGGAAACCATGGCTTTCTTGTATTTTTCTTCCACTTCGGATAAAGACTCCTAGATGAAAGTCACAGCCATCAGCCTGATATCTAAAATACGTTCATTGCTTATATTCAATATAACAGGAAATACAGCACTGGCACAAACACATGAAGATGCATTTTTGCAAAATGCAAGCGGTTGAGGGAATTCCTGGTTTAGTAACATGCACATGAAATGGAAGGATGGTAATAAGCCAATTATGCCAGGATAAGAACTTTATATGCTCTCTGCTATACAAGAAACAAAATCAAGCAGCAATGTAGCCTCTGAAAGATAAAAAGGTATGCAGACCACATATATTTGTGAAGAGTCCTAAAATGAAGAAGCATCGATGTTTTCAGAAATGTTACTCTTGTTTTTAAACAACAAGCTGTTTGGTATTCAGAATGCAATGATAGAACAGAATACAGCCTCTCTTCACACAAGTAAACGTAATACTCATTTGAATTTTGCTACTTTCCAGACATCTGTTTTCAGTACTTTCTTCTTCTGTATAATAATGCTAATGTAAAGGCATAAACATTTTTTTCTAGCAATTATTCAAGTTCTGGTCATTCTTTAATAAGTAAGCAATACAAAAATGATTAAAAAAAGAGTAACAACAGGGCGCCTGGGTGGCTCAGTTGGTTAAGCGACTGCCTTCGGCTCAGGTCATGATCCTGAAGTCCCGGGATCGAGTCCCGCATCGGGCTCCCCGCTCGGCGGGGGTCTGCTTCTCCCTCTGACCCTCTTCCCTCTTGTGCTGTCTCTCATTCTCTCTCTCAAATAAATAAATAAATAAAATCTAAAAAAAAAAAAAAAGAGCAAAAACAAAATGTCTGAAATTTTATATAATTCAAAGTTTTCTGCTTAAAACAGCTTACAAGTCTATTTTTTAACAACTATCTAATTTGGTAGATTATTACCACCTAGTAACAGTTTTTAAGGCTTTTAAAAAGAAAAAACATTTGGGTGGCTCAGTCGGTGAAGTGTCTGCCTTCAGCTCAGGTCGTGATCCCAGGGTCCTGGGATCAAGCCCCACGTCGGGCTCCCTGCTCAGTGGGGAGCCTGCTTCTCCCTCTCCCTCTACCCCTACCTCCGGCTAGTGCTCTCTCTCTCACTCGCTCTAGCTCTAACTCAAATAAATAAAATCTTAAAAGAAGCATTTCACATAAAAAAAGTCATTACTTCTAGAAATAAATTTTAAAAATACTAATGTAAATGTTCAACAAACCAAGATCAAAGATACAGAACTGATAGTCCAGAACCCTTACATTTGTGATCAATTGACTTTTTTTGTTGTTGTTGTTAGTTGTTTATTTATCAAGACAAACCATTCCATAACCCAATATTCGTGTTTCATAGTTCAGGAACACAGGTCAGTGACAGACTTCAATGGAACTCAACCCAAAGAAATTCTTTACATTCCAGAATCACTCTGCACTCTGAAAGATACCAGCCTTCTTCATCTCCTCAAACTCTTTCATGGAATCATAATTTCTGTAGAAATCTGCATATGCCTTCTTTCTTGGTTCGGCCACAGCAAACTTAGAGAAAGCTGCAACCCCCAGGGATACAGCGAACTCTCCAACAATACGAAATCACAGACACTTGGCCAGAAGGCCTCACATCTGAGGTTTCATCAAAGCACTGGAAGTCATGGTAGTTATTCTCCTCAACACCAACCTCAAACCTAACGTCCTCCCTAACTGATATAGAAATCTGATCAATTGACTTTTGACAAGGGTACCTAGACAACTCAAGGGGAAAGGAATAGTTTTTCAACAAATGGTGTTGGAACAGCAGGATATCCACATGCAAAAGAATAAAGTTGGCTTCCTACATCACACCGTACACAAAAATTAACTCAAAATGGGTCAGAGACCTAAATGTAGGAGCTAAAATTATAAAATTCTTCAAAGAAAATATAGCACTAAATCTTCATGATCTTGGAGTAGACAAAGTAGGTTTCCTAGATACAATACCAAAAGCAGTATCAATGAAAGACTTCATCAAAATTAAAAACTTCTGTGGTACAAACAGTATCATCAAGAAAGTATTAAAAAAAAAAAGACAATCCATACTATGGGAGAGATTATTTGTAAATCATGTATCTGATTAGGGACTTGTATCCAAAATATATAAAGAACTCCCACAACACCATAATAAAAAGACACAGAATTCAGTTTAAAAATGGGTGATGATCTGATTAGATATTTCTCCAAATAGGATATGCAAATGGCCAATAAACACATGAAGACAGGCTCAACATCATTAGTAATTAGGGAAATGCACATCAAAACCACAATGAGATACCACTTCAGACCTACTATGATGGCTATAATTTAAAAAAAAAAAAAACAAACAGAAACAAGATTAACAAGTGTTGGTGAGGATGTGGAAAAACTAGAAGCCTCATATATTGCTAGGGAGAATGTAAAATAGTGCAGCTGCTTTGGAACACTTTGACAATTCCTCAAAGTGTTAAATATATTGTTACCATATGACCCAGAGATTCTATTCCTAGGTATCTAGGAGAAATGAAAAGGTATGTCCATACAAAAACTTGTACACAAATGTTCATAGCAACATTACTCATAACAGCCCAAAACTGGAAACAACCCAAATGTCCATCAACTGACACATAAACAAAAATGTGGTAAATCTATACACTGCAATATAAACCAGTCGTGATAGATGGATGGATGGATGGATGGATAGATGGATGGATGGATGGATGGATGGATAGATGGAAGGAAGGAAGGAAGGAAATGAAAGAAAGAAAGAAAGAAAGAAAGAAAGAAAGAAAGAAAGAAAGAAAGAAAGAAAGAAAAAAGGAAAGAAAGAAAAAGAAAGAAGGAAGGAAAGAAAGTTAGTTACAACATGGATGAATCTTCAAAACATTATACTAACTGAGGTCAATCACAAAAGACTACATATTATATGATTCCATTTATATGAAATGTCCAGAATAGGCAAATCCACAGAGACAAAGTAGATTAGTGGTTACCCAGGGCTGGGTGTGTAAGAGGAAGAGGAAGGGTGAGGAATGACTGCTAATTGGCACAGGGTTTCTTTCTGGGGTAATGAAAGCATTCTAAAATAGGGCTGTGGTGATGGTTGTGCAACTCTGTGACTATGCTAAAACCCACTTGAACTGTGTACACTTTAAATGGATAAACTTTACAGTGTGTGAAGTATATCTCAATAAGGATATACACACAATAAGCCCTTCATAAACCAGGGCTGTATTAACAGGCAGCATTTATACCAGGAATGGGAACAAATATAAAACAAATAAAAAAATATAAGCAAAGTCAACTGTATAATGGTTTAAATATAATCGGATCCTAATATAATACAGAATTTAGAATGATTCTGATCCATCTCAGGGGCTAATAGCATTAAAGAAAAGTCTTCCTCACAGCTCAGTCCCATAGAAAATGGAGCATAACTTCATGAACATCAGAATCTAAGATAGTTTAGCAAGAGATGCAAAAATACAGTAACAATAAATTTGACGTAACATTTATGGCATGTACTCTCCTTTAAACAGACCATGGAAGACGGTTTTAAATTTGTGTCAAGGTAGTTTTAATTATTTCAATCTAGCTTACATAGTGGTATCTATTAGGAATTAATTTTACTTAAATGTGTCTAAGGCAGTGATTTTGCAAGTGTAGATTCTAGACTAGCAGCAACAGCATTAACTGGGTAAACATACAAATTTTCAACCCCATTCCAGACCCACTGAATGAGAAAATCTGGGAGTAGGGTCCAGCAGTCTGTGATTTAACAAAACCCAGGTGGTTCTGCATGGAGGCTAGAATGAGGGAAAAGCACCCCAAAGGCTGCCTCACTTAATCAAGAGTAATGTCATAAGAATGACCCAGTATCCTTTTTTAATAGGACACGTTCACACCACCGAGCTTGATCACCAATCAGACCATTTTTTAAAATGATTTTCTTCCACTTAAAGAAGTCATTTCAAGTATAAATATAACCTGAAGTCAAGCTCAATTATATGCTGACCATGAATTATGAAAAGGGGGGGTGGGGAAAAAAAAGGGAGGTGTTGAGGGGGATGGAAATTAAGAGTACACGTATCATGATGAGCACTGAGAGAATTCTTGTATCATTATGTTGTGCACCTAAAACTGATATAGCACCGTATGTTATACTCCAATAAAATAAATAAACATAAAAATAAATAAAATAGATCTCTTCTAAATGAAAAAAATAAAGCAGGGTACACCACTGTATATCACAAAGTAATTTTTTCTTTACTCTGGATATGCTTCTGTTGCACTAAACATGGATATATTTAATGTATTTTTTTACAGTTTTTCTTAGCATGGTATCATTTATGTGAGGAACATTAAGTTTTGCTTTTTTGTCTTAAAAAAAGGGATCTTGTATCTGTTTGGTCTCAAATAAATTTAATCTGTTCTTTTGTATCCTTCAAAGAATGTAGTAAATGGTAGATCTAAAACATAAGAAAAAAATGTTTTAAATAAAATAAAAAGCAACAAGTAAGAATGCCTCTGAATCGCTTGCTTTCCTGATACATATAAGACACTTCAACATGAGTGTATTTACTTAATATATAGGATTTGTTCCCTTGATCCAAGATATTTCCAAAAGTCTTACCTCTAAAACCTTAAGAGGGGATTAAATCCTGAAGATTAGAGCCATGAAAACTAACTGAGCACATCCACATACTACCTCTGTAATTCTCCTGATGTTTACTGATAGCCTCACACGCTGCCATATCAGCGGCCTCCACACTTCCCTCCCGGACACTCTCCACAGGACTCCCTACCCTTTTTGGTCCTGAGTCTTAACCATAAGTTCCTTATGGACAATAATCATCCACATGAAGGTTTTGACTGGTAACTGGGCTACTTCACATCACGCCAGGAAAGCTGATGAAAGCCTTGCGTATTAGGCCTATGCTTTGTCCTTCGAGCATATCCTGAATCACCTTTTTGAATACCTTACTTATGTGATTTTAGAGGCCTGATGTGTATTTTTTATTTCAAACAGGGACATGCATGTGTTCAGGAAAACTTTTAGTTTCCTCATATTAGATTTGAACTTCAAAATAAAACATGGGGAAGCGCATGATAACCAAGTGCCACTGACAACCAAACTGTCTGCCTCACTCGGACACTTATATTGAAAACTGGTAGCCATCCTTGCTCAGAAAGGATTTAGGCCCATTTAAATTTACCTCCAAATTTTTTAAAGCACTGAATCTGTATAATCCTTTTTGACCTATAGTTTAAAAAAGAAGAAGAAGAAACAAAACGAAAACACAGGCCTTCTATCTCAGGGTCCTTCCTCCAAAAGGAGTATTTATAATAATGCACTCTTAGATGTTTCTTCCTCCTGCCTTTAATATTGACTGAATTTGGTGACAGAAATAGGCAATATTCTCTCATTTAGCATGGAAAAATTTTAAGGTCTAATTTTTAATTAAATATATATATATATTCATTCTCAGAATACTTTTTAAGAGTTTGTCCAATTTAATTTTGTATGGCTAAGACACAAGGGACATGCAACTATTTTACAAACTTAAGAACTCTAAGGTGTAATATCTTTTACTGAATATTCCAAAAACCATACTAAACATTTAGACAAAGCAGAGACTGAAAGCTTGCCTTTCCTATGCACTGCAGGTTAAGCACATGCTTGAAAGACAAACACTGTTAGTAAAGCTCTGTGCACTGGGGTTAACAGGACTTGTGAAACCACCATTACCCAACCCTTCTGCGTACAGACAGCATGCTTGGGCTGCAGAATGGGCCCTGATACCTTTAGTTCTTTAAGCCCTTGCATGTATCTCCCTTCTACATCCTGTATCTGGTCCTTAAGGTCATAGATATCCTGCAGGACATAGGAATGAACCATTGCGTAAAACCATGCATAAACATATCTTAAGTCTCAGAGATTCAGTTGAAAACATGAACTACTTTTGTATATTCCAGACTAAAAGCAAAGAAATCAAAGTACACAAGCATAACTGCCACTCCAAACCATGGAATAGGGCAAACAGGTCAGGGGGGATAGTGGGGCTGGAGAAGGTCTGGAGTAATCAATCTGAAGTGTTCACTATTTTCTTGGCATTAACATGTGTTGAAACAGCATTAGCAAAGGGGGGGTGTATATGGAAAAAAGCTATATAAATTTTAATATGCTTAACATATAATATTAAAAATTTTATAAATCATTCAAATAATTTTTAACATAATGCTTCACCTAGAACTAGTAAAACATGTAGTAAATTAATTATAAGCAGCAAATTTTACTGACTCATGCAAAAGTTTTAAAAACTGTAATAAATGGATATGAACAACGTTGTCTTTCAATGACTTGCTTACCAAGCACAATTAATTTGGGAGAAAGAAAGTAAAGGTAAGGAAGTTAAACACCAACATTTTAAACATTATGTCAAATGAGAGTCTAGGCTGAGGATGCCATTTAAATGATGAGAAAAGAGCATCTGCTCCAAATGTAACCATAATCCTTAAAGTAAAGCAGGTCAAATTTTAAATGGAAAATACAGTTTCCTTTATACCTGACCCTGCTACATACAATCTATTCAGACGCTTAATTTAGGGAGAAAATAACTGCCACGGTTATTTTCCCTGAGTACCATTCTGCAATACAGACAGGATCAATTCTCCAAGGCCAGTCACACACACTTTCTGTATTATACTTCCCCTGCCTTCTTCATTCCCTCCTTTGTAGGTCTGTCTGTCTTCTGCTCATTGATTCATTCAACAGACATATATTGAAGGGCTACGAGGAGCCGAGTATAAGGATACAAAGCTCTCACTTCCTTCAGGAAGTCATTCTCTTAAAGAAGCAATACAGGGAAACCGCAAGCACGAGCTAAGTTGTGAGGCTGGAGGGCCTTTCCCTCCCGTGTTCTGTCCCACTGAAGGCAAAAGTTTATCTTACTCAACTCTGCGCCCCCGGCACCTATGCTGGTACTCAGTAAGAGCTTGGTAAATACTGATACTCGCAAAGTCATGCCATGTCGGCCTGGGGCGGCTCTCCTTCTTGACCGCCACCGTCACTGCTGCAAACCTCTCCACCCTCTAACCACTGGCCCACTTTTACAGGCTGCCCACTTCATAAGCCGGACTCCTGCTCCTACCCGCTTACAATCTGACTCAGTACCCCAGTCCCCACCTCCTCCTGTGTCAGCAGCACTGAACCTCCACATTTGGCCCCCCTCCATCTGCACCCTAGGCATTCCTCTCGCCCACTCAGGCACTCTGCTCCTCAGTCACCCTCTCCTTCCTTTGCCTTCCTGTCCTCTCTCAAGTCAAGCAATGAAAATAATAATCAAGTCCACCTTTGAAAGAAAACAAAAACCTTCTCTTAGTCTCCTATCTCTCTCTGCTGTTGACCAATCAACTCCAGTATCCTCCAGTATTCTCTTCAGAGCAAATTTCTTGCATCTTCTTCCATCACAGTTTTGACTTCACTATTGAACTGTGGGTATTGTTCCCCTTGCAGCCAGTGCTTCCTCCGATCTGGGGTCACTCTTTAAGAATGCAAATCAGATACTCTCACTCCCCTATTTAATATCCCACAGTAGCCAGGAGAAAACCAAATGCCTTCTAGGCTCCCATACATGATGGCTTTGTGGTCTGGCCCAGAACTACTTCCCCGGTCTTCCCCCTCACCCACCTCTCCTCCTCACTTCTCATCCTACCCTTAGGCAACTGTACTATACAGAGTACCTTCTGGTTCTCTGAAGTTCTGAGAAAAGCTTTGTCCTTCAACTTTGCCTGGTTCATGTGTATTCTTCCTTCATACCTTAGTCCAACGTAGCTGACACTTCTCTGAATTCCCTTAATAGCCCTACTCTGGCTGTCACCTATTATCACACGACCTGGTTTTACTGGTTTCTATCAGTTTGTCTTCCCTATGAAACAGTGAACTCCTGAAGTTCACAGTGTGTTTCACAGCCTAAATCTCTGGGGCCAAAGGCTCAATAAATGTTGAATGACTGAATGAATGAATGCATGCAATTTTTATTACTACCCTTCCCCCATTGCTCACAAATAGCAGGTTCAGCAAATAAACATTCAAATACATTTTGAAAGTCCTCATTTTTTAAATAAAAAGGTTAATAAGAATGGGGACTCAACCCAGGAGACTCAACTCAGGTATTTCTGTTATCCCAAATATTACTACACTTTTCATGAAAAATTGATAGATAACTATATTCAAGCAGCCAAATAATACATAATAGCTCAAAAGACCGACAATTCCTAGAGTCTGGTTCCTTGTATATCCACATATTTTCCATTTAAAATATGGCCAATTATTTCTGAAAGAATTACTTTACATACATTAACAAGTTTTTCTGGCATCTGTAAATTAGCAGAACTCATTCCAATACCATCAAATGTTCAGGAAAGAAAACAGAAAAAAGAATTAACTAACCTCCTTCCTTTCAGATCTGAGTCACATTCCTGAACTATCTTTAATAATTTTTTTTTAAGGAACTCATATTCCTTTTCTTTCTACTAAGTCACATTAAATGTTAAATAGTTCCAGTATACTATACTATAAAGAAGCCAAAAAACGGTTTTTAAAAAGCAAACCAAAGACTGCGGTTTACCCGCAATTCACTTAATGAGGTGTCTGGATCTACTAAGCTGCTGGTGTCTCCGCTCCCTCGTCTGGATGAGTTTCCACTCAGAGGGGTTGTTGCTGAGGCAGAATTCCGAGATGAAGGCTAGAGAAAGAGGAAGAGGACACATTTAAGTCTTGTTTCTTTCCAAATACGTTTGCTGTGGAAACTAAAACTGGGCCCAGGGTGCGGGTGTGGATGAGAAGATGGGGAGAGTGTAGACTGCTATGGGGAGAGGGTATCCAGAGAAGGGCCCGGGCATACTACGCATAACTTTGTTCACTCCAACACTTTATGGGAATCTAGAATTCATAATAACAAAGGAAATAGTTTGTGTGCAAGTTGTTTTCTAAGTTTATCTTTTCTACATCGTAAACAACTCTGGGGTGAGCACATCAGATTAATTTAAAACAGTTCAGGACTTATAACTGGTATGCTGATTAGCAGTCCTCCTACCGAGTTCCTAAAGATGCTCCTTCAGAATCTTTTCTTTTTCTAATATTTTGATAAAGTTGGAAACAAAATTTGCAGCTGAAGCAAATGGTGTATCACTCTGAATTTAGACTGCTATTCCCACAGTTAGTTTAAATGTGAGATTATGCTACTGGATTAATAAATGACACAGATCTATGCTGTCCGATACAGTAGCCATTAGCCACATGGGGCTACTGAGCATTTGACATATGGCTAGTCCAAATTGAGATTTTATTTTTAATTGTAAAATACACAACCAGATTTCAAAGGCTTTGTATGGAAAAAAAGAATGTAAAATATCTCATTAATAATTTTTCACATTGACTACATTGACATATTTGGGTTAAATAAAATACATTATTTAAATAAATTTTACCTGTTCTTTTTTTTAAAGATTTTATTTATTTATTTGACAGAGAGAGACATAGCGAGAGAGGGAACACAAGCAGGGGCAGTGGGAGAGAGGCAGAAGCAGGCTTCCTGCGGAGCATAGAGCCCGATGTGGGGCTTGATCCCAGGACACTGGGATCATGACCTGAGCCGAAGGCAGACGTTTAACGACTGAGCCACCCAAGTGCCCGTTTCTTTTTACTGTTTTAATGAGGCTACTAGAAAATTTAAACTTACATATATGTGGGTACACTTGTGGCTTGCACTGTATCTCTATCAGACAGAACTGGTATATCTTTTGGGGATATAGCATGAAATTAATCCTGATAATTTCCCAAAGGTGACTTTCTAAAAATACTCTAGAAGTTAGAGACTTTAACACAAAACAACTCCTAGAAAGGAGTTATTTTACCTCAAAAAAAAAAAAAAATTAACTATTAAGGGCGGGAAAAAAAAAACCCTCAGAGTTTGTCACCACCATTCCTAAAGACACTTCATTTTCAGCGTTTAATGGCTTCTTCTCAGGATCAAATTCTAGGGAATGAAAATCAAAAGAGCAGCCAAAAGCTTAAGAAGTGACATTCAAGGAAATAAAATGCAGTGTCTTTTCTCTTCCCAGTGCTTCACATGATTCAACCTCAGAGGAATTTGGGGGGTCAAGGACAGGAAATAGATGAAGAAAGGAAGAGTAGCTCCACCAGTTCAAATGTAGTAAAATAATGAAATAGCAGTAGAAATTAAGTTTAATTGACCTTGAGAATCTAATTCCCATAGGAATTTATGTACTCACCCTTGTGTAATTTTCAGCATACTGTTTGTCAGATTTTTCATCCAACTAGAAAAGAACAGAGATAAAAATCAGGAGAGATGCTTAGCATGCTGGGGGTTTTTTTAGAGGAAAAAAAGAAGTGACCTCATTTGAGTTCTCCAAGTTCAACTGATGTTTGGAACCTAAAAGTAAACATATTGAAACTGAAATAAAAGTTGAGACACATAAGACAAAATGTCAACAACTTCAATTCTTACCCTAAGGATGACATGCAGTAAGCAAGCTGTCCTTATGCATGTTTAGAACCTGTAGATTTTCCTTTTCATGGTATTTGAAACACGTTAAAGAAAAATATATGTAAACTTGAGCTTTGGCAATGCAAATGTTAACACACACACACAAAAAAAACTTGTACACATCAAAAGAAAAAGACTGATAAAACCAAAAGCCAAAAAACTTTATTATCTAAACATTATTAGAACACGGGACACATAGATAAGACCAGTATACTTAGCCAAAAAAAGTTCAAATTCAATTAAAGCAAGTTAAATATATCATCAAAAAAGATTTCCCCCACAGCTCTTAAGGATTCAGTTCTTTGGCTTTTTTGTTTTTTTTTTTGCTTTTTTAAGCAATACATGTACATACATCAAAAATAAAATTTAAAAAAAATCAACCAGCACAAAAGGGTATGTGAAGTAAGCCTCTCTCCCTACTATACCACACCCAAACCTTCCAATTCTCCATCCAAGGGCAACCGGCCCCCGTGTCTTTAACAAATTCTAAAGTAATGTCCCAAATACATTCTATATCTTCTTTTTCTCCTTACCAAGTTTCAGAGATTACAGAAACTACCTCATTTTTCTTCATGGCATTGATCACTCCCTAATCCCATGATATTTATTCGTTTATTTATTGTTTGATCTCTTTCTCTTTAATGTATGTTCTATGTCTCTATGTTCATTTCTGTATTCCTAACATCAAAAACAGCACCTGGCATATAGAAGGACTCAAAATTTGTTGGGCAAATGAGTAAATGAATCATACCCCATCTGTACTTACAGACTTACTTCATTTACTTTAACAACAACATAGTGTCCTATCATCTGGGTACGCATAACTGAGTTCTCCTATCTTCTGTGGATAGGATTAGTGTTTCTTTCATAAAGAGAGGTACCTCATAGGTCTAATCCCAAACCCTGACCTTACAGCTGAGGAAAGAGAAATTCAGAGGCAAAAGATTTTCCTGAAAGCTGAACTACTACTAATCAGGGCTGAGTCCAGATCTCAGTTTTGCAAATCTTTAACCCTGTGTTCATATAATTTACCTGGATATACTGTCCCAATTACCATTAGGGAGAAAAAGTTACAGAGAGATTTAACTAAATGAAAATATACCCAGACTCCAACACCTAGACCAACTCTCCCAGCCCAATCTAGAAAAAAGATTTGAAAACTTTCCTCAGTTAATTATTAAAACACAAAATACCATTATTTCTGGCTCTATTCAGATCACTTCACTCTAACTTCCTCATAATTGAAAGTTTTCCTGTTCTTTTTCATTGCCCACATTTATCATGTTCAATTTTTCCTCAGTGTTTATATAACAAACACTGTTTATAATAAAAGGTGTTTACTTTATTAGAAGTACTATATAAAGTACTTAAAGTAATATAAATACTATCTCAGACTTTGATCTCTTTTTGCTACTTTTTAATATAATACTCTTTTTTTAAAGATTTTATTTATTTATTTGACGGAGAGACCCTATTATAATACTCTTAAAAAGGAATTAATTTTAGTTAACTTTAATTTTTTCTAAATCGCATATAAAATGTTCGAAAACAAACAATTACAGTAGTTAACAATTATTGTCGCAAAAAGGAATAACCTTCCATCACATTTATACTAGTAAAACACATTGCCTGATACTTAGAGTGTTATTCTTCAGAATCAAAGAAATACTGTATCTGAATAAAACTGCCGTATTTTCCTCAGAGTATCTCCCAACTCTCTTCTACTAATGAGTTAAAGACAAAAACAAGCAACACTCAGAAACACTCTTCTAGGTCTATTTAAAATCCTGGCTCATATTCCCCTCCCACAAAAATGACCCCCAAGTCTATCCATTTTTTTTAACAGTCAACTTGGAATGATCTTACATTTCAGAGGCTGCATCATTGAACTAGTCCATCGCAATGTTGATTCTATTGCTTTCACTGTCTTCTGACAGATCCCAACTGTCGCAACCCAAACTGATCATGCGCCAAACCTCATGGATTGTTAAGGCAGCAAAAAATGCCAAGAGCAGCCACGCCGCAGTCCAGTCATTTGGGCTGCAGTGACTTGGCCAGAGACTCCAGTTCTCACTTCTCAGATTGTGCTATATTATGTGCTGTCTTCCACTTAGACAAAACACTACTTGATACCTGGTGTTCTAAAAGCCCCAGTGCTCTCTCTAGCAGCCAGGAGCTCTACACAACTGCTCTGCAATGACACACTAATGTTCATAATTATGACCCAGAGTCTGCCGGATCCTGAAAAGGCTTTTAAGTGGAATAAAATTTAATCATGTTTAATATATTAAGGTATAAAATAGGGAAAGGTTGGTAAAAGGATACAAGCTTTCAGCTGTAAGATGAATTAAGAGGATCTTATAAGATTAGTAAGTGAGAAATCAGAAAACAAAGGCTGTATATACTTTATGGTCACAATTCTGTAAAACATGCAAATTAAACCAAGATAGAAAAAAATACTAAAAGTAAATCGAGTTGCTAAAAAAGAAAGTCGCTAATAAAAAAGTAGATTAAAGAAAAAAAACCAAAACAAAAAAACACTAAGCAAAGCTTCCCCCCTTCTCCCAAATATGGCCCTCAGGACTTAGTCATTAATGTTAACTGTACCTTACTATTCTCAAAAAGTTTCAAGTAAATATCATGGCACTGTACCCTTAAATAATTAAATAGGTAATTTTCCAATCATGAAAAGGGTTTCTTTGATAGCTGGAACTTGGAAGTCAGCTAACAAGCTTGTAATATTTCATATTCGTATTAATGTGAAAAGAAGAGCAAGGGCATCTGGGTGGCTCACTCGGTTAAGAGTTGGACTCTTAATTCCAGCTCAGGTCATGATCTCAGGGTCCTGAGATAGAGCCCCATATCCAGCTCCCTGCTTAGTGGGGAGTCTGCTGGAGATTGCGTCTCCCCTCTGCCCCCTCCCCCGCTACTCTGTCCCCCCTGTGAGTATACATGCCCGTGCCTGCATACTCTTTAACAAACAACTCTTAAAAAAAGAACACATGGTAGCAGACTTTATATTCCAATTTGAATGCTTTAAAGTTCAAAAGTAGTATTTTCTTAAAGAATTTCAAGTTATCAACTAGTAAACAAAATCTTAAATAAATATAATCTTTCCCACATTTCAGTGATAAATGCCTTTGCCTTATTTATGTCTGGGACATCTGAAAATGCTTTGCTCTTGACATTAGAAATTATGGATTGTTTCTCTTTAAATCTAAACTCCTTGAATATTTGTTGAAATTAGTACATGTGAGAAATATTTCTTAGAATACATATCTTGTCAAATCCTTGAAACTCTTTATTTCTTCTTAAAAGAAAGATGTTTATTTATTCTCTGGATAAAAAGCCCTTTGAACTTCATTTCAGCATATGGTTACTTAGTTTGACAGATAATTTTACCTTACTAAAATGGTAAAATACAATTGAAACTTTTGAATAGAAATAGAGAATTCTAGTTGTAAATACATTTCGATACTGTCATTTAAAAGAGTTGTTTAGAGGGGCACCTCGGTGGCTCAGCTGATTAAGCATCTGACTCTTGATTTCAGCTCAGGTCATGATCTCAGGATCGTGAGATCAAGCCCCAGGTCAGGCTCTATGCTGAGTGTTGAGCCTGCTTAAAATTCTCTCTCCCTCTCCCTTTACCCCTTCCACCTCCCCTTGTGTGCACTCTCTCTCTCAAAAGAAAAAATAAAAAAGATTTTTTAAAAGAGTTGTTTAGAAATAAAGACTTACATCTTGTTCTAATTATATTTTTTTCTTAAAAGGACATCAGAGATTTGAGGGCACCTGGGTGGCTCAGTAGGTTAAGCATCTGCCTTCAGCTCAGGTTATGATCCCAGCGTCCTGGGATAGAGCCCCGCATAGGGCTCCCTGCTCAGCGGGGAGCCTGCTTCTCCCTCTCCCTCTACCACTCCCCCCTGCTTGTGGTCTCTTTCTCTCTCTCTCTCTCACTCTCATGCTCTCTATCTCTCTCAAATAAATAAAGTCTTAAAAAATATATTAAAAAAAGGTAACAGAGATTTGATGTAATTGAGCTATGCATATCTGAGGTATATCATGCAGCACCCATTCCTGTCAACTGTATCAGTAAATCTAATGTAATATATATGATCAGAAGATAAAGGTATTCATAATTAGGCATTTGAATAAACTTATTTTTTAAGTTATAAAACTACAGTCAAAGTATTTATAGTGTTGTTTAATGTAGTTATTGGAGTCTAATCCTTTAACTTCTAATTTTATATATGGATGATAATATGCATCAAAAATTCTGTTTAATGGAGAAAAAAAAAACAACCAGAAAACTAATGACTGATTCCCTAACCACAGAAGGGAAGGGAGCAATTAATTTTAATAATCTCCTAAAGCAAAAATGGCTGAGGATTCCATTCAGAAATGGTCTGATTATTAACAATCAGTAAAATGAAAGCACATTTACATCCTTTTCCCCAGCCTGACTGATGGGACAAAGGAACAATGCAGAAGAAAAGACCAGAGGCTTGAGCAATCATAAATATCCATATAGTGAGTCTTGCCAAATCAGGGCCTGGCACCCTTTTTCAGCACACCTAGCTCAGAAGTTATAAATGGAGCAGAATGTACACATTTATCTGATCCACAATGCGGAAGCCTGAAAGTGACTTTTAAAATTTTGAATTCATTGTCAGCATTTTAAAATCAGGCTATTTCACCAAAAAATGCAGGTTTCCTAGCTTATATCAAAAAGTGGAGTGTGTGGGGAGGATCTTACCAATGTCAAGTCCACTTTTCATTTGTCTACAATGAGCTGTATAGTTACCCTTTAAAAGAAATAATATTAGAGAAAATTTTTGCTCTAGAGAGGGGAACAGCAAATTTTTAGGCTTTGCCAAAAGGCAAATTAAGGATATCATATGGGTACTTAGATAATCATGAAAAAAATACATAAAAACCATTAGCTTACAGGCTATAAAATAAGGGGTTGCTGGCCATATTTGCTAACCACTGCTCTAGAGAATCTTTTGTTTATGTTATAAGGTGTACAGCATGATGATTTGATATAATAACGTATACATATCAAATCATCACGTTATACACCTTAAATATGTATAATTTTTATTTAAAAATATGTAAATAAACCAAAATAATTACCTGGGTAAAGAAAAGAGTTATATTAAATTAGTAGAAGCAGGGAGTTTTTTTTTTTAAACTATCAAGCTTTTCACTTCTGTGTAGTTACTAAAATAAATTGCCAAGAAATATACATAAGGAGGACATAACCACCATCACAAATTAAAGGCTAACAGAATTCAAAGTTTTTAAGAAAAAAAGGTGTATACAATAAATTAAATTGTTTATATCTACAAAAAAAAAAGAATATGTTGCTAAGCAAACCAATAAAATGAGCAATATTTCAGGGGAAAGACTCGGGAGCCAATCTTCCAACTGTGCGTGCAGAGATTCCTTGATCTGACAGAGGGCAAGACAGGGTTGCTATATACAGCCAGGTTTGAGATCCAACAATCTGGAATACTTAAAGACCACACTTAAAATTATTTTCTAGGATTAAAGTCATTCAAAAGTAGCTATTTAAATACAACGAGCAATGTGCTAAATATAAATAATAATCTCTTCATTCAAAAACTAACTTTTTGGTTAGGAAACACTGCCTCTCACCTGCTTCAAAGTGCTTGAAAATCAGACAGCATTGGTCTATGGGCAAAACAAAACTAATCCCAGCAAGGGACAGGAGGTGTCAAAGAGAAAAAGAGGCTATTAGATCAGGCAGGGAGGTATATGCTGGTTGGAGTTCCTTCATTAAGACAAATGCCTCAAGGCATCAAGGACAATCTTTCCTAAATTCAGTTCCCAATGATGTGAAAGCAATGGACAGGCATTTCTTCAAAATAATGCCATAGTCCAAATGTTTAAAATCTATTTAGATTCGTCCCAGTTACCATAAATTAGTTACACTTTACTAAGTAATATCTCCTATTGTTCAGGGGCGCCTGGGTGGCTCAGTCGTTAAGCGTCTGCCTTCAGCTCAGGTCATGATCCCAGGGTCCTGGGATCAAGCCCCGCATCGGGCTCCTTGCTCCACGGGAAGCCTGCTTCTCCCTCTCCCGCTCCCCCTGCTTGTGTTCCCTCTCTCGCTGTGTCTCTCTCTGTCAAATAAATGAAATCTTTAAAAAAAAAAAAAAAAATCTATTGTTCAACCTTCAAAGTCTGTCTAGTACTTTATATATTCACCAAAATAAAAAGGGAAGAAAAATTTTAAGACTCAGCAGGGATATCTAAATATGGGCTAGGTATTAGAGGTTTTAAGGAATTATTTTTAATTTTATTAGGTATGATAATGGTAGAGTAAATATGAAAAAGAAATTCTCAATTAGAGATGCATACTAAACTACTGGGAAATGACATGGATTTGCTTTAAAATAATTCAGGAAAAAAAAAGGGGAAAGAGATGAAGCAAAATTGGCAAAACACTGGTAATTTTTGGAGCTGCTGACGGGTTCTACAGGTGAAATTTTTCACAGAAAAGTTTTTTTAAAAAATCAAAGCATATCAGTATATACATTCCAAAACAAAACAAATAACTGTACTTTATGTTACTCTATCCCAATAAAAATTAAAGCAGTAAATTAAGCTCCTAACTTTCAAATAGCTAATGTATTAGCCGTTAGTCACAAGCCTGAGACACCAAAACCACCCCCATGCAATACACTCACGCTGGTCAAATCGGGGATACTGACGTCATCCACTTCTGAGACTACACTCCCCCTACGATTGGAGCGACTAAAATAATCAGCGGTAGAAACCTTTCAATCAGAAAAAAATGAAATGCTTTAAAGGTTAAGAAAAGAGAGAGGAGAAGGATAAGAACATTGTCAAATGAGGAAAACAAATATTGTTTTGGTGCTTGATAAAGTATCACGCAATGAGGAAACCGCTGCAATTAACCTACTCAAAAAAGTAGAAAAGAAACATAAAAGGGTTTCTAAAGGAAATCACAGCTCCCTAGAACAAGCTTTTATGCACCTTAACTCGAGTTGTATACCACAGAGATCATTTACTGCCGAGGGCCAGCAAAGGCTCCCGTGTTTAGCACATGCATCATCCTCACTAGGATACTATTTACCTCAAGCCTCTACCATATTTCAAAAACTTATAGTTCATTACAGCTATCAACTCTGTTAAGCACATATATGCTCAATGCAGCATTCTTTGCAGGGTATTTATTGCACTATTTGCTCAATTTCTACACTTCCCTCTTTTTCATACTCCTCAAGACCAGGAACTGTGAGACAAAATAATGAAAGAACTACACTGGCCCCTTTCTGGTTCCCCAAACTCAGTCTTTTCCCACCTGAGACTTTGTCATTGGCCTATAAAGCTCTTCTCCCGCTCTTCAGGCAGCTGGCTCCTCCCATTTCAAGTCGCAGCTCAAAGGTCACTTCCCTGGGGGAAGCCTTCTCTGACCACCCCCTCCAAAGGGATGCACACTCGCACATGCATCCCTCAGTGTTCCCTGTCCCATCACCTGCTGTTCTCTTCACAATCCCTGGGGTTACTTCTCTTTTCTTCTTTTGTTTACTTGTTTATTTTCTATTTCTTTCACTAGGATATAAGCTCCACGAAATCAGAAATCTGGTCTAGCTTACCACATTATTCCCAGCACTTAATACAATGCCTCACATATAATAGGTACTCCATAAACATCTGTTGAATTAGTAAGTAGGGAGTATTTTTTACCTCACTTATCAGCTTTTCTTACCTCAGCTCTGTCTGATTACCTTGCTTAAAAACTCTTCCATTCCAGGAAGTGAATTTGGAAATCCATCCACAGAGACAAAGAAGGCTTACAAGTGTGAAGTTTTGCTAAGGGCTAATGCAGTCAAGCAACAATATTTTTATTCATAGTAATAATAATACAACTTAGATTTACATATACCTAATATTTTACTGGTTCCTACTGTCTCAAGAACTTTGTAACTCTTCTCCATAAGTAATTCATTTGCATATATTAAGCCTACCTACAAAGACAGTCATTAACATTCCCGTTACAAATAAATTGCCATTAACACAACTAACAGGTTGTAGAAGTGGCTCAAACCCAGGCATCATTAAAGTCCCTTCCTGCCCTTTCTACTCCATCACTTTCCAAGGTGCTTTCAGGTGTCCTGGCTTGTGTTTTCTCCTTCAGCTGTATGAGCATTAACTGGTTCGCCAATGGACCACAATTGCCTTAAACAGATCACTGCATTTTTGGCAACAAATCTCACAAACACTTGGTGTTTCCCTTTTCTATGAAAGCTTCAGGTTTACAATCTTTCACAAAACATGGCTCTTTTGTAGCTCTAAGCTGACATATCATGCTTACCAATGTAATTTTCAAATCAATTCTTAAATATAGCAAAAATGTCATCAGCTCTCTGAAAAACTTCCAGCATCATCAAAAGAATAATCTGAAATTACACCAATCTGTATTTTGACCTAGCTATTTGTTGTCTCTACAATTATTATGCTGGCTGAATTTTTAACCAGAATTTCTAAATTTTGCCACCTACGACTATTAAGAAGTTCACAGGTCTTAAAAGATGTATAAACTATAAACAATACATCTTAAATACACAGCGAAGAAAGCAACTGATGGCAACATGATTTGTAATCCATAGTTAACGAGTTTTATGCAAAGTGGAGCATTCATTTTGCTGGAGAAACTTTTGTTACTGGTGAACTGTGCACATAAATGCATGTACATAAAACAGCAACAAAGAATAAAAAGTGAAAATCTTTCAAATACACAAAGACCTGTGCATAAGAGGTGTAAAGAGGCAAGTTACTGAGGAAAGCTTCCATAGCCCACAGAGAACACATATTCACAGGAACACATTTTTGAAGGCAAATTATTCATATAAACTAAATTTGAGGAAAATGCTCATTTTTGTCAAATGTAAATTTCATTTTCCAGGAGATTTCATGGGATCACATATAGGGGGGCAATTTAAAAACTTATTGTATGAGTTTGCATGCAAACCACGCTCACCACACTGTCCCTTCGCCCACGACTGGCGCGACCAGAAGATGCAATGCTTGCAGTGTCATCATTGGTAAACTACAGATATTAAAAGCAGATAATGAAAAACATGTGATTTCACTATAGGTCCTACCTGGCTGCAAGCACATTAGGTAAGGTTTGGGGAAGCATGCAATTACTCTACAGGAGCATATAATTGGCACCACCTATTGCGCACCATCAAACAGAAAAGTGGCTTCAAAGTATAATAAAGTATCATTAAAAACCAAACGATATTTCTAAAAAGCACAATGAATAAAATACTACTTTCTCTTTTATTTAAGTTGTAGAAAAAAAGAGGACAGGAGTGGAGGGCTAGGGCATAAATAGACCAACCAACACCAGCTAGGGATTTCATGCTTTTTTTTTTTTTTAATGAGAGAGAGAGAGAGCATGAGATGGGGGAGGGTCAGAGGGAGAAGCAGACTCCCCGCCAAGCAGGGAGCCCGATCCCGGGACTCCAGGATCATGACCCGAGCCGAAGGCAGTTGCCTAACCAACTGAGCCACCCAGACGCCCGGATTTCATGCTTTTTAAACCACTAGGCCCTTTGGAGCCCATCAGGGGGTCAACAAGTATACTTAATGCTTAAGTTCGGGAGAGAAAAAAAATCTAAGAATATCTTCAGGTGAAATAAGTCAAAGACAGAATTTCCTACCAGCAAGGACACTGAAATGATGATTCTTATTTTCCTTTATTCATTCCTATGCAATGCGTGGAGATATTTCTAACGTCACCCTACAGTTTTCTTCCTGTTCCACGAGCAGCAGAAGACTCATCTTCCGTGTGTATAAGTTACCTCTATTCTGACATCACTGAGGAACCATTCTGGCATCACCGAGATAATAACTCTGAACCCAACTTGCAAATGAAATAACATGCAGCCAGCACACAAGGACAAGGTTCTACACTTGATTGAAAATGTATTACCATAATTTTGTTTGCAAGGGGCCATCATATTGGTACATTAAAAATGCTATCGGGTCCCAGAATTGCCAAGTGGAATTTTATTACGGAGTGAGGTAAAAGTAAACTTCCTACTTAAATCAAAAAGCCTTTATCTCCTTAAACATTCCTGTGTACATTTTTGTTAAGCACAGGAGTGGAATTCTTGAGAAGTGCCCCTTGGAAATGGCAGGAGAACAGAGCCCAACATGAATATAAAATAAAATCTATATAGCTCACCTATTCCACTCCACAGAGCAATCTGTACTGACCATTAAGAAACTGCTTTAGTAATTTCTCCTACTTTGACACTGTCAAGAATAACAAAGTAGTTCCTAAAGTCATCATTTGCCATTGGAAATGTAAATTAGTTTAGTCTTTTTTGGTGGGCAATACGGCAATATGCATCATAATTTAAACGTATATACTCTTTGACCCCCATCATTTAATGATTAGCAATCTACCTTACATGAGATCTACTCATAAGTACACAAAAATACAACTGTATACAACAGTCCATTATGCAAGTGTTTGCTGTAGCAAAAATACAGCAACCTAAATGTCCATCGATAGGGAGTGGGAAATACAAGCTTCCAGTTATTTAATGATTGACAAGGATAAAAGCTACAGCATAGAGAATATAGTCAATGGTATTGTAATCATGCTGTGTGGTGACAGATGCGAGCTACACTTGTGGCGAGCACAGCATAATATACAGAGTTGTCACATCACTATGTTATACACCTGAAACTAATGTAACCTTGTGTGTCAACTACAGTTTAAAAACAAAAAACAAAAACAATACCTATGAAAAGAAATCCTCAAAAAGAAATGTACAACCCATGCACTAGTGGGATAATATACCACCATTAAAAAGAATGTGCTGACATAAAACTATCTCCAAAACGCACTCAGTAGAAAAGGGAACATAAGGAAAGTGTCAGGGGACTTTTACTTTGGACTTTCCTTAAGCTAATACTACTTTTATAACTTAAAAAAAAAAAAAGTTTTAATATTCCAGAAAGATTCGGTGATTAGAATTATCCCAGTTTTGTCTTTTATGTAAACAATTTTTAAAAGCTGACTTGTTTTATTACTTCTCCTTTCACTCCATTGATTGAAGTGCTGGCAAGCAAGTGAAATGGCTCAATGCAGAAAGCAGAAACAGAAAAGAGAAACATAGGATAATCAACCCATATAGTGAATTATCACCACTGAAAAGATAAGAACTTCACATAAACGACAATACAAATTTTTTAAAACTTCTAATGGCACTGGTTCCAGACTCATTTCAGAAATTGTGTGCTAAGTCACATTCACACAGAAACCACCAATTAGGACAAATTAGTATACCTGAGTTTGTGTACTGAAGGAAAATGACAATCCATGCACAAAAGAGTGAAACACGCATCCTCAATATTCCGAATTGTGAGTACAGATTAAGGAAACAACTGAAAGTATCTATAAAGCATGCAAAGAGACCAGACAGCTCACCACAGGACTGCTTCGGGCCGAACTTGTTCTTGATGAGTAATAACTGTATTCAGATGGCTATAAAGTTTCCAAGAAGAAAGGTTTTACAATAATGGCCACCTCCTTTGCCTGCTGGGGGAATACATTCGTGACCCTGGACCTAAGTGGCCGCTGGCTCCCGGGGTGAAGGTGACTGTTCTCCCAGGTCTGGAACTCTACCTTTCTCCCAACCCCCTAGATCCAGCAGCCCTCAGCTGGAGGGTGAGGAGGGGAAGGGGATGCCCTGAGAAGCACTGCTCCCATCCTCTTCCTCAGGGACTAATGAGCAGGAAAAGAGGTTTCTCCACTTATATTCCCTTCATACTGTGAGCCATGATTTCCAGCAGGCAGTTCCTCACAATTTGGGTGAGAGTCACCGTTGGCTAGCTTATGGGTCACAGCTTACAGAGCAACTGCAGGTCAGATTAAATGACTTTTTCTTTGTAAGTAAACTATACCCACCTACACACCTCCCTCCTCACCACCTCCCCCTGGTTGGACTTACAGTTCGAGACCCATAAGGGTTATATAATCCACCATGATACAATGACACCTAAAGAACAGAGGAAATACCACTCATCTATTTATTCAGGTATCAAAGTTGTTTTGAAAATGTCACAATTTCTTCGAAGTACTCAGTTCCAAAAAAGTGTTGTAGTGTAGTGTGTCAGGTGAGAACATTCACTGATACGCGTAAAGTCCTACATCAGTCCCAAAACTTCAAACTCACACTTCCTTTAAAAAGCACCATTACAGTATTTCTTTTCACCATCATGTTATGAAACTAGGAGAAGGAACATTTATGAATTTATTCTCTCTAAAGAGGGGACTGAGCAGAAAAGCAAAGTGAGGGACATAAAGCATTTTGCCCACTGGCACAATAAAATGAACCTACAAAGCCTCCAGTTGCCAGTCTACGAGAACAGGCCACAGCACAACAAAGCAACAGCCTGAAAGCAGCCAGCTCACAACTTGCACATTACACAGAACTATGGTGCACGTTACACAGATAATGGCTTTTGCTTCCTAGTCAGCTTGCTTTATTAGAGCCTAGTATTAACACGGCCAAGGTCACAGCTGTCCCAAAGGAAATATGACATCTGTGCATGGGCAACCATCTCACAAAAGTATACAAGTGTAGTGGGGCCCATGCAAGGTTGTCTTCTCTACAGGAAACCAACCGTAAGCAAGGGCCTACCAACAGCCAGCACTATCTGGAAAATAGGGCTGGTTTGTTTTTGTTTTTTTTCTTACTACCCTAAAGTTTTGCATTTTAAGCATTGGCAGCACATTCTGCAGTGTACATAGCATCAAAGCCACGTGTCCTTGACTGTTTTGGAGGAAAGCTGTCAAGCCAGGGTCAGCACCATGACAGTGGCTCCACCAGGAGTACACACGTCGGAAGAGAAAAATACAAACCAGGCTGGTACTTCTCAGCAGACCAGAATTTGCAGTAGAGGAGGCCTATGAAAAAAGCACATGATTTAACCCAAAGAAAAGCAACTGGTAGCTCTGAAGGCAAGACACTTCTCAGAAAGTACTAACCCTGGTACTCTTTGAGGTCGCCAGAGGGTCACTACACAGGGAAGAAGACTGTTAAGAAACAAAAACAAAACAGAACAAGATAATTCAGCAAAAGGAGACTTGGTCTCTCCATCACGAGAGCAGAAGCTGTGTTTATTCTACACTCCATAATTGATTAGCAATTCCTGAATGCTTAAGGGAGTTAAGTAACACATAAGGTGAGGAAAACTTAGCCATTAGAAATCTTTTTGAATACCCATTTTAAGGGATAAGAGAAACACCTGGAATAGTTTTCTATAAATGTGCTTAAGTCTTACTGGGCTTTCAATAGTAATGTTAGGAGATGGGGTGGCAACCTAAGAAAACACTCAAGAAAAGAGGGCCACGGCACAGGGAGTGTGGAGGACAGTGGCCACACCCGGGTCACCAGCAGCTCCTGGGACACTTTCTGAGCTCTCACAGCAGACTCTTGATGAGCTTAGCCTGACTGCTGAGGAACCAGGTAAATGAGCTCCAAGTTACACTACAAATACACAAGCCATGGACAAAGTATCTTAGTTTAATCAGAAAAAATGTACTGGTCACAACAAATTCAAGTCACTAACAAGGCACAGCATTTTTAAAAATGGAATTAAATCTTTCCTCTTCTGATGTCATCTGAAAATAATTTTCAACTCTTTTTTCCAAGCCCATCAGACAGGGAAAATAAGAATATCTAAGTTGCGTGTGCAGGTTTTGACAACTGAATTATTTTCTATGTACTATGTGCCACATATTTGTTTTAAATGTATGATGTGCCAAATGTCTTGAAAAAACAAGGATTCTAACATTAAACAAATATTCTTTTCATCCCAATTACAGTTTAAATTTTTACATGTAAGCTTTTATTAAAAGGCCAACTACCATGATGTGTAGTGATGCCTACAACTTATTCTGAAATACATCCCCCCAAAAAAGATGGATCGATGGATGGATAGATGGATAGACATTAATATGATAAAGGAAATATAGTAAAATATTAATTGTAGAATCTAAGTAGTAGGCACGTGGGTGGTTAATATACAATTCTTTGAACATTTTTGTATGTTAAGTATTTTTCATTTTAAAAAACTGGGGAAAATGGTACTCATTTATAAATGTGGTGGTTCAATAGTTCACATCAGCTAAAGATACACAGACTCTATGAATTCAGTTACCACAAACCAGTGTACACACAGCCACTCACAGATTAGTTCTAACTAGTCAAAATGCAAAACCAGGGGTTAGAAGTGTGTTAAAGTTGGATAAAACAAACAAAGCCAAAAAGCTTGAGACAAACCCGAGTGTAGTAGGCAGAGGTGGGTTTGCTATGTCTAAGACTGCTATAGTTTCTCTGGTCAAAGTAGAGGCCACTCTGCAAAAAGTAAAATTAAACACATTTTTCTTAGGTTAAACATTGTTGACAATACACAAAGGCAAACTCTAATATTGCCAAACCCTCTCTCCTCCAAAACAATGACTTTAAAGCACTGAATTGCATTAAGTAAAAGTCAAAATAATAATTATCTCAGGTCTCCAAAAAAGACTAATATTAAAGGTTAACTGTATTCAAACCAAGTCATTACTAATTTTTTTTATTTTAAAAACATGAGCATAAAGCCTCAGTCAAAATGGAATGGAAATAATAAGTGATTTATTCTCATGTCATACTTAGTAACATCCTTGAAAAATCCAAGACAACTGAGTAATTACCACTTTTATAATCCACTTGGCAATGCCAGAGAAAACAGTAAAGTCTTTTTCTTCAAACTTCTCCTAGTCCCATTATTTGTCAAAATATTGAATTAAGTTACCAAAGACACAGTGCAAGTGTGTACTAAACAGGTTTGGCCTAAAACATCTATGGCAGGTTCATCTTCAATACACCGCACAAACAGGCCATTATACAGATTGTGGTTACCTGGCAAAGAGGCCATCATCTATAAAACTCCCTTTCTAACTTATCCAGCCATCTTTTTCACTCAGAGTTAAGGAAATGTAAGCAATCCCTGACTGATGGCCTCCTCCTGCACTGCTGACACTGCAATCGGGGGGGGGGGGGGAATCCGTGTGCCCACTAACCCCTGCCACTCCTGGCCTGGCCTCCCCACACCACCCCCTCAACAAGGCACCAGGACTAACCTCTCCTCAGAGCTCCCAAGGCTTCACCCTCCAGGGCTTCTCACTAATGTCCTCTCCATTATATTCCCTTCTACCAGCCAAAGCCTACTGATCCTCTCTCACCCTACCAAAGGTCAGAGCCCCTTCCACAGGAACCCAGTTAACAGGCAGCTTGGGAGTGATTCTCCCGCCAGTACTGTGGCAGCCTAACAGAAAGAGTATTTCAGTATTCTCTATCACCATCAATAATCTATTAAAAACTCTAACATTGGGCGCCTGGGTGTTTCAGATGGTTAAGCGTCTGCCTTCAGCTCAGGTCGTGATCCCAGGATCCTGTCTGCCTTCAGCTCAGGTTATGATCCCAGAGTCCTGGGATGGAGCCCCACATTGGGCTCCTGGCTCAGCAGGAAGCCTGCCTCTCCCCCTGCTCATGTTCTCTCTCTCTGTATCTCTGTGTCTCAAATGAATAAATAAAATCTTAAAAAAAAAAAAAAGGCTCTAACAAATTCAATTTATATTCCTGACATTATACATAATACATTGTTTTCTGGGGACACCTGGGTGGCTCAGTTGGTTAAACGTCTGCCTTCGGCTCAGGGCACGATCCCAGGGTCCTGGGATCGAGTCCCGCATCAGGCTCCCTGCTCCGCAGGGACTCTGCTTCTCCCTCTGCCCCTCCCCCTGCTCGTGCTATCTCTCTCCCTCTCTCTCTCTCAAAAATAAATAAAAAATCTTGGGGCGCTTGGGTGGCTCAGTCATTGGGTGTCTGTCTTCGGCTTGGGTCATGGTCCCAGGGTCCCGGGATCGAGCCTCATATTAGGCTCCCTGCTCAGCGGGGAGCCTGCTTCTCCCTCTCCCACTCCCCCTGCTTGTGTTCCTGCTCTTGCTATCTCTCTCTGTCAAAATAAATAAATAAAATCTTTAATAAATAAATAAATAATCTCACTAAACTTATTCTTGAAGTATATTCCAAAGGACAGTTCATAAATGAAAGTAGGTGATTAATGAATTTCTTGTATTAACTTGATATTAAATCCTGTAAGTGAAAACAAAATTACTTTTAAATAAGATTCTGATAAATCATGTTTCAGTATGTTATCAAATTTCAATAATACCTAAGGCACACACCAAAGCAGTCATAATTCTTAAGTTCCCTAAAAGTAATCAGTGAATTTTATAGCAGCACAAGACAGTGGGACATGAGACAGAACACAACTAACCAGTGGGTCTTTATGAGAACCAGAAGACCTCTTCTTCATTCCATAAGAATGACTGTAAGAATGATTCTGGAAGTAAACATCTGAAGTTAACTTTCATGATCACATAGTGAAGTTTAAAAAATAACTTAATAAACTTCATCTTAAAATTATACACAGAAAGATGCATATGAGATACAGAGCAGTCCCCATGGAATCTATTTACCAGCTGTTAGTAAATGATTCATGGCACTTGACTGACTAGCTAAGGTATCTAGCACCTCTACACATCTTCACTCCCCCTCACTTTCCCCTGTGCCATCCCATCTCCATGTACAGCCAGCTCAAAAAGATGTAATTAGGACTCAGAGCCAGGCAGGGCATTTGTGAAGATGTTCACCCCACATCTTATTTGAGTGCTTTCTATCTTCTTTATAAAGGTATGGGGGACAAGAGGGTCGACTTCCTTCTAGGCCTACCTTAGCAAAAGGCCAAAAGGCAATCCTTTGGGATCAACCAAAACAAGATTGAGCATTGCTCTGCCCAAGAAAATACTCCTGACCCAAGTTAGTGGTCCCACAGCACATGCTGCTCAGGAGGAAAACAGCCAAGACAGTATGGACTGCCCCTTGTAGCAACAGCATTATCAGACAATGACCTTACACGCAGGTCCTCTGAAGACAGCACTGTCTCAATACATAACTTCTCCCAGGAGCACAAAGCCAAGTGCATATGAGGGAATGAAGGAGGACAGAAATACTAGTATAAAGAGCATTAGGTAGACAAGAAACCCAATCTAGCTATATACTGCCCACATGAAATGAGGAGGTGCTAGCAACGTCCTACTTATCAGCAGTCTGCTCCAGGCAAATCATCTGTCATATGCACAGCTAGATCCTGAATCCATCCACTCATTTTTCTTTTTTGAATATGCATATCCTTCCTTTCATACATTACCCTGAACATTTTAAGAGATGACTATATTGTAGAAACTCAGGCCATCTACTGACATAATATTAACCCAAGGAAAACATGCTATAACTAAACTTCCTTGGCTAAAATGACATACATAAAAAACCAACCAAATCAAGCAAAAATGAGCAGGTATAACTGATGTTTCAGGTATCACCTGTCACTGCTGGCTATTTCCTGTTTAGCAACTTCACACCTGCCGGCCTGTGGCACATAATAAGAAACAAACACAGCAGGGCCTGTAGTTCAGTGGGTATCAAACACTGCCAGAAACATGTCTTCCAGGCAACACATATGTGTCATTTGAGGAGCTCATCACTTTAAGAAAAGATATTACTACCAATCTTAGTGCTGGATAAGGAAGCAAATCATTTTTATCTGATCCTGAAATTTTAAAAGAAAAAATTATTCAAATGTTCAATTATGCCACAATTGCAAAACAGTCTTTCCATCGTTGGCCATACGCTTTCCCCAAAACATAATAACAAACCTGTGGAAAGTTAGTCATAATCTATGATTAGCATGATCAGACATTTATAAAGTAAAACTCTACATTTAACACAAAGTCATGCACTACATACTAATGATGAAAGTCTTGATGATCTATCCTTGAGAGCATCATACTGGATTTCAGAAAAAGTTGAATGTTGATTGTATTCCCCAAATCAGAAATATAAAGAGGAAAAAAGCAACGTTTGCAAAGTTACTAAAAATCCAAACTGGAATTTAAATAAAACAATTTAAAAAAATTCAGCACTACTTTAAAAGTTGAAAATTATTATACACAAAGGCTATTACATTTGAATTAAAGAATCTTCTTCCCCACACCCACACTTTCCTAATATAAGTGATTGCTAAACTCTTTGTACATGTAACGCTGCATGTTCTCTTTCAAACACAGAATTCCTAGTCAATAATGGCGAGATGACTCAACCTCAGTATACCCTAGCACAAAACACCCGCAGGGAGCCTTTACATGCAGGAATTAAACATTTTGAAATTAAAAAGATGTTTTACTTTCTATTATTGTGGCTGTTACCATCATTTCCCATTGTTTGAAACATGGCAAAAGCAAGGAAGGCATGGACAATGAAGTGAGAGCACATAACTAATATATAATCAGGCTTACAAAAAAAACAATTGCAGCATCAAAATGTGGAAGTTCCCTTGGATCTGCCTGTGGACACACAGCTGAAAAACTTCCTTTCTCAAGACCTTTCCCTATTAAAAACACTGAACAAAACTGGAAACAGTCCAAGCAAAGTGCGGAATATGCACAGTATACATACAAGTGTGGGATTAAATATCAATCAAAGAAAAACACATAAAATTTATGATAAGACCAGAAAAACCACATTTCATGTAGGGTCTTTAAGAAAATAAGATAATAGGGGGGCGCCTGGGTGGCTCAGTTGGTTAAGCGACTGCCTTCGGCTCAGGTCATGATCCTGGAGTCCCGGGATCGAGTCCCCGCGTCGGGCTCCCTGCCTCGGCAGGGAGTCTGCTTCTCCCTCTGACCCTCCTCCCTCTCATGCTCTCTGTCTCTCA